CCTTTTTTCACTAGTGAACATACATTGGGTTTCACTTTGTTTTCTATTGTCTCACACTGTTACCCAAGACTACAGTAACTTGCAAGGAAACTCACACTAAACGGTTTATTCCGCTTGGGGATCACCCTGTATTGTTTGGTAGTTCTGATTGATTGGGGGGATTTAGCCCATTAGCGGATCTCAGGTGGATTCGCCGTTTCCTTTCGCCCACTTAATGAGACCATATTAGAACGATTGTATTGACAGAACGTGGTGCGTAGTGGAAGAAGCAAATCGAGGAACACGATTTGTTCTAGCAAATCGGCCACCCAGTCCCATTACGGTGCACTGCCCTTTTCCCCGCCAGTTTCGCATCCCCCACTTGAGGCGGATATGTTAGTTTCCATGAAGTGCCACTCGTCTAACACATCATTTAGCTTTCCCATACGCTCCTGCGTCTACAATTTTCTTTAATTTAAATGTTTGTATGTAATCTGACGTTCAAGGTTATCCCAATCTTATCCTCAGCTCTTTTCGAGGAGTACGGGATTTTCCATAAACCTAATTAAAAAATAAGCACGTTTGCTTTGAAATATGTAATGAGGAACTATTAACTATGTCATATCCATTGAAACAAATAGCTCAAAGCACTTAGGAAGGATCAATTTGGGTTTTGCTCCGCCAAAACGAGTTTAAAAAAAAAGGTCTCAACAAACCTTAATTTCCATGCTACCTTCTATAACCTGACCTGAACTCAAGCGATCCTTTTTTATTTTGATCGAGGGCTTTGATTTTCCTGAATACGGAAGAGTTTGCAGCTGTCATATTTGCAAAGACGTAAAGGTGTTGCACCGAGATTGGCTCCTTCAGTTCAACTTCACTCTTGTCTGAAGCGCCTTTGGTCTTAAGACTTCAATTTGGACCCTATTTCCTCATGATTGTCAATAGTAGGCTTTTTGAAAGATGTCCTAAGGGAGCGTTCTTGGCGCTACCGCTTCCAAGGACGAGCAAAAAGATTGGAATTGTGTTTATCTGGGAAATCGGGTTTCTCTTAAAAAGTAGTGTGGCAAAGTCGGCAGAGTAGTGTCCACCTAGCATTTTTCAGGACCCGCTAACTCAACATGTTCGGGGACCGTGCACACTGTATGAGGTAATATACCCTTCAGTCGATTAAACCAAGCGACTTTCACTTTGCCGTAACTCAATAACAATCATTGCAATCCAATCATCCACCATTCCCTTTCGACACTTAGCCTGGCATAGGTTAATAAGGATGAGACATATGCGCGGAGCATGGTTGAAGTGGGTATCCTATTAGTAAGGCCTGAAAATGCCCGTTTACATTTCCTAGGATGCCCCATGGTTAATCTCTTATATTCGTCATCATCGGTCTGAGAGAATATGGGCAATCATTAACAGGGTTTCACTATCGTTGATGTATTCAAAAAGCAATGAAGATGATGCTGATTTTTGAAGAGGATGGATCTTCACATATGTAGATTCTGCCATTGCCAGATGAAACGCTCAATCCATCGGGACCGCCCAGAGGGGATCAGGGTCGCCTGCAGTGGTAGAAGTGGGAAGGACTGTCTCATGCATCTTTGGCTCAAAAGTGAAGTGATCGGAACCTAGGCGGGATAGGCTCTCAAAGGCTCTAACCGAATGCCCTCAAGGAATTGGGAACAAGTCGCATTCATGGCGCAATTCAAAAATTGGTAGTTGTCGCCGACTCTATGGTTCTTCATCTTTCATGAATTCGTTGATAGCAGCAATTTCGTATAAAAAGCGATCCCCGAAGTGCATGAAACACTATAGAAAGTCCTTTCTAGCTGTTTTGTGGGGAACATCTGCTGGCCGTGTTGATCGGAAGAGAATCCAGACACAAAGCAATGTTTTCGTTGTTGAATTCAAGCCATTCATTGTATTGAAATCGACGTCAATCGATATGCACAAATGAATCACGTCGTCGTCGTTGTATTGATCCAGTAATCATCGTCACTGGTGCTATGAAGTATCGACGTCGACGGACCATATGGCTCAAAAGTTTCCCCAGACGTTCCTCCATCCATTCGACGACCCTGTACTTTTCCCTCATTGTTTCCCTTCATCGCATCTGGCACCACTCCGCTGCCGACGGCTGATCGCAGTTTCTGTTTTTCATTTGTTGCCATACGTTTTTTTCTGTGGCTTCCACTTCGATTTGAAGAGTCAAAGCTTGTCTTGAACGGTGCACTTTTGTGTGATTTCTGTCTGACTCATTTATTTCGCAGATTCGCTTCAGCATTGAGGAAGTACCCGTGAATTGATTGTCTTTAAAATTCTCTGGACCCCTATCGCCATTTCACATGAGGCCATCGCTTAAAGCGGCGTAATTGAATGAATGTCATGAGATTTTTAAGTGATCGTTTTTCTTATTCTATTGGTTTTTGATGAATTATTTCTGCAAACAATCGATCAGTATTTATTTTTCTTCTGAAATCGTTCGGTTCTAAATCCCTCTCGGGTCAGGAACTCAAGCTTCTCTTGCATTTCGTATATGGGAGCTAGGGCGAACGGCTGCGATCGATCCACATTTCCGATGTGCCATGCACTCGGCCTTTGTTCGGAATTGTAGAGGCATCCCAGTGCGTATCCGGTTCAGGTTGTGAATTGCAAAAGAACTGCTATCCTTCGATATCTGTTGATCGAACTCGAAAGACTGAATGGATCGGATCTCCTGGATGAGTTTAGCTAGAGCTCTGATCTTCTAGCCACTGCACCATTTGTGTCTCATGGTTTTTCCCGATTATCATCAAACTGAGGTTTGTTTAGCTAATTATGGATACTTTACGATTGTCACTATCCCATGAAAATCCTTTTTATGACCCTTCATAAAGGTTTTGAGCTGACGATAATCGATACGAGACCCCCTAAGCTACCGTATTTGCCCTGATTCACTGTATTTCTTCCCGACGAATTTTTCTGACTCTGCTAGTGTGCAGCCTATTCTAAACTTTCACTAATTTAAGTTGAGCCACATTATACTTCTACAGTAATCCTCTAGTCCCTCTGGTCCGTATTTCTTAAATCACAGTATTTCTGCCATTTCGTGGGAACCATCGATGTTGCCTAGCGATCAATATGCATGTTTTGAATTACCGTCTTTCGACTGTTTCTTTTGATGCAGCTGTGACGAATCTTGGGACGAATCGCATGCATTTCAAATAGTTCTTTGTATGGGGAAATGCTCACATTTCTTCGAATCAAAAGTCAAACCGCCTAGTCCTCCTCAGTCTCCCAATGTACAGAATGATTCTTTGTCTCACTCCGTTTTTGTTTTTCCTTATTAGGTTCTAGTTTTTCCAGAAGGTTTCGAAGCGGATGGGTAGTTTTATAATAATAACTGGTACATGTGAACTCGTCCAAAAACCTTCATTTATCAAAGCCGCCGAATCTTGAACTGAAAAACGCCCGTGAACCGAAAGTTTACTCAACTGGCGGTCGGCTTGTACAAAAAAGCGTTTCCGGCCGTTACATCATTTGACCCTTTGTTAATTACACTATTTAACAGTTGCATAATTAATTATTTACATCAATTTAGTCAACTGGACATTTCGTTTGAAACGTCGGACTTGATGGCTCTCGGTGTTACCATTTTGTTGTAGGTTGAAGCTGAGCCACCTTTCTTTCTGCGGACCGCTCGACGTTCTCCGCTACCAATGGATTCGAAACCCTTGGGGTCAATATGAGATCTTTATATCAGGGGCACAGGTATATCTGTGCCCAAGTCTTGTCTTCACTGCTACGGCAGTGGACGTAGAGAAGCAGCTCTTCATTCCTCCCTATGTATCTTGATAAAGGTGGAAATACGAAGTGGAAAGGAACCACTGGTACGACGAGGGCACTGTTCCTGTGCATTTTCCGAAAACCTCTCCCATGCTATCGTACATTCAGCTTTTGCACTTCGGTACTTGAACCCTCTGGTCGTATGTTATCGTGGACGGAGCCTTGGAGCTAGGGTATTCCGTGCCAGAACCAGCTTCATTCCCTATCACGGGAGTAACTCCCCTGTTGTTTTCAGTAACGGATTATCCCGGCTTCTGGCAACATATTGGAGTCTTTTGATATAATGTCAGAGATTATGATGTCAGAACGATCTATCAATGGATAACCCACGCATGTGTCTTTATCCCATCAGAAAGAAACTG